CATCCTTAATTTCTCTGCAAGCGAAGTCGATTGTCAACTTTAGACCCTCTATTTTCATGGTATTTTCACCTACCATTGTTTCAATGGCATCTGATCTTGTGTTGATCAGTTTCGATAGGGTATCAACAATGACCGAGTTAGATGGATAATCTGCACGATCATCTCTCAGAAGAGCTTTTTTAGATGCAGGACCCCCCCTCTCCCCCACACCTGCAGTTCAGATCAGCGAAGACGTCGATTGTCGATTTGTATATTTTTTATTCCTTATTTTACTTGTTCTATTTTTAATTTTTTATTTATTTTTATTTTTTATTATCTGTGTTTTTTTGTTCTGTCACTGTCATTCTGTTACACTGTGGAAGCTTCTGTCACAAAAACAAATTCCTCGTATGTGTAAACATACCTGGCAATAAAGCTCATTCTGATTCTGATTCTTGCATGGTGTTGCCGGATACGAGGGAAAATCATCTTCAGAGGCCATCAGAGATAGCTGGCCTACCGTATTTTCGTAGTCATGGCAGCTAGACACGAGGGGGTTTGTCGAACCTGTTACAATGGCCTGTTTAGCAGCCTTCATCGCTCTCTTTTTTCCCGTGTGGACATATGGATGATCAGGCTATACTGTGCGTCTATTTATAGCACGTACAGACGTAATCCTTACACTACCCCACGGACTTATGGGAAGTGTAGTCCCGAACTCATACATTACCCTGTTACATAAAGAAATTAAAGCTCCATCTTTGATTGTTGAAAGACTTTCTGGTGCATTTCACTTACAGCCAATACAATTTCCAGTAGCATTTTCATCGGTCAGGCGCGGATCTATTCTATTCTATCTATCTTTGACAAAGTTTAATCCAGGAGCAAAGAGAAATAATTTCTACTTTAAAAGCACGGATTGAGAGATCGCGATTGCACACAGTCTGCGCACAAGCAATATCAGAGTGAGAGGACAGGCAGCTCATTTGTATTTCATCAAGTTAGGCCTATTTGAGAGCTCGCATCCAGTTTTCTGCGATTACATGACTGTGTTCTCATGTTACAATAAAGCGCTCGCCACATTTGCGCGGGAATGATTAAAATTATGCGGAATACCTGCAATCCCGCACGGACATTCAGACTCTGTAATCGACAGGAGGCAGATGCGTGTCAAACTCACTGTCGGAGAGGAAAGAGCGACGCTCTTGTATCGGAGTATATTCGGTAGAAACTGTGGAAAATGAGTAATGGAACCGTGTCAGATATTTCAGTATCTGTATCAAAATATAGACAATTATGATAACACTACCATGTAGTTTGTTTCTCCAAACTTTGAGTCCATAAATTACTCTGAGCTCCCTCACTGCCTGATCAGCTCTTCAACCCTACTTTTCCCAGTTCAGATATCAGGGCTGCTATTGGTCCCTTTACATCGGATATCTTGCCGTCAAAGGTTTGAATATCAATTCAAATTGTGGGCGTACTCAGTAACAAACTATGATTTAAAAATAACTTAGTAGATTTTGCTTAATTTGTACTTCAGTACAAGTAAAAGTACAGCTTTAAAAATATACTCAAAAAAGTACAAGTACCCGAAAAAACTACTTACAGTAACGCGAGAAGTTGTAATTCGTTACCTCCACCACTGCCTACAGCTCAACCTGGCAAAGACTGAGCTTCTTGACTTCCCTGCCACTCCAACTCTACAGCATAATTTCACCATCCAGTCTTGTCTTCCCTGCCTCTCCAACTCTACAGCATGATTTCACCATTCAGCTAGGTTCTTCTACAATTACCCCATCAACTTCGGTCAGAAATCTTGGTATATTCTTTGATGACCAGCTGACCTTCAAAGACCACATTGCGAAGACTGCTCGATCTTGCAGGTTTGTTTGCTTGCACAACATCAGAAAGATCAGGTCCTTTCTAACGGAGCATGCTGCACAACTTCTTGTCCAGGCCCTTGTCATTTCTAGGCTGGACTACTGCAATGCTCTTCTGGCTGGACTTCCATCAAGCGCAATCAAACCTCTACAAATGATTCAGAATGTAGCGGCACGACTGGTCTTCAACGAGCCCAAAAAACCCATGTTACACCTCTCTTGATCTCCTTGCACTGGCTACCGGTTGTGGCTCGCATCAAGTTCAAGACATTGATGCTTGCATATAGAACAGCCACAGGCTCAGCACCCTCCTACTTCCACTCACTACTACAAATCTACATCCCCTCCAGAAGTCTGAGATCCGCTAGTGAGAGATGCCTCGTGGTACCTTCACAGAGAGGCTCAAAATCACTTTCCAGAACATTCTCGTTCACCATTCCTGGCTGGTGGAATGATCTTCCCACCCCTATACGGAACGCTGAATCCCTGACAATTTTCCAGCGACAGCTGAAAACTCATCTCTTTCAGACACTACAAGACTTCATCCTAAATTAAAAAAAATAAATAAAACTTTGGCTTTCTCTTTATTTATTCCTTCCCTTTCTAGCTTGTACTTATTTGAACAATGCCTAAAACTTGGCATTACGAGCACTTCCGGTGTCTGTTTGCCTCTTTAAGAAGAATCGCTTTATGTATTCCCCAATTGTAAGTAGCTTTGGATAAAAGCGTCTGCAAAATGACTAAATGTAAATGTAATGTAAACGGGTTTGTTGATGTGGTTCATTTTAAATTCCAGGTTGTCTGAATCTCATGTGAACATTTGTAATCATAACCAAAGCAATTAACTTCCTAGAAGTTCAAACCACCAGGAAAATCCTCCTATGTGACCCTGGACCACAAAACCAGTCAAAAGTTGCACTGGTATACTTGTAGCAATGGCCAACAATTCTGTCACAGTGTGCCAAAGACGAGGACTAAAAGAGATGCAGGTAACGTAAACTTCACTTTTATTAAGTCAACACAAACTCCTATCAACAGAGGTATCTCCGTGGAAACAACTGAGGTGAATGTGGCAGAGAGTGGATGAGAACAGTCTTATCTGAAACACCCGGTTTCCAGTTCACAATCCCTTGAGCACACGAAGATCTTGGTGATAAGCAGAGCAGAGCACAGGTAAGTTACAGTCTTTTAGCAGAGCCGAAGAGAAAGACATTGAAGGAGTAACCTTGAGACCAGCGTGGTGAGTGTGCTCTTATAGTGTATGATAATGATGTGCAGGTGCTCAGTACTCAGGTGATTGAGGGTGTGGTTGCGTGATTGATTCTGTGGTTGTAGATGGTGTCTACGTGACAAATACATTGTATGGGTCAAAATTATCGATTTTTCTTTTATGCCAAAAATCATTAGGATATTAAGTAAAGATCATGTTCCATGAAGATATTTTGTAAATTTCCTACTGTAATTATATATCAAAAATGTATTATCATTATTAATATGCTCTGCCAAGGACTTAATTTGGAAAACTTTAAAGGCCATTTTCTTAGTATTTAGATTTTGTTTTCTTTTTTTTTTTTGCACCCTCAGATTCCAGATTTTCAAATAGTTGTATCTTGGCCAAATATTCAATTAAATTAAATTCAAGTTTATTTGTATAGTGTTTTTCACAATACAAATCGTTGCAAAGCAACTTTACAGCAAATTAAGTTTCTACAATATTTAGTGGTAGCTTATCAGTGGTGACTGTCAATTAATGTACATATGGCAGAAATGTATGGAAAAATCAATTAAAGACGTAATCAAACAGACGATGAACACTATTAACAGCAATTATTATATGATGCAATCAAACTTAACCAACCATACATTACATTTACATTTAGTCAGTGTTGGGGGAGTAACTAGTTACATGTAACGGCGTTACGTAATTTAATTACAAAATAAATGTAACTGTAATCAGTTACAGTTACTAAGAAAAAATGTGTAATTAAATTAGTTACTTATGAAAATGTTAACACACATCCACATATGTATGTGGATGTGTGTTAATATTTACACACATCCACATACAGATTTAATTGATTTCTTTCCCAAATTGCACTGATTACGCTGAGACATACGGCCCTATAATTTCCGCGATGCGGAAAACAAAGACTGGTTCGTAGAATCCAGTCATAAAAATGGAATTCCTATAGCCTAACGCGGACGGAATATACCACATTTTGGACGAATAAATCAAAAGTAG